CCTGATATTAACAGAAATGTTTTGAGGTGTTCCCCATTTAGAATGGTGTTGGCTGTGGGTTTGTTATATATAACTTTAATTATGTTGAGGTATGTTCCCTCCAGTCCAATTCCCTCTAGGACTTTGAACATACATGCATGTTGAATTTTGTCAAAGGCCTTCTCTGCATCTATTGAGATGACCCATGTGGTTCTTGTCTTTGAACCAATTTATATGACATGACATTTATTGACTTACGTATATTGAAACATCCTGCATCTCTGGGATAAAGCTTATTTGATCAAGGTGGATGGTCTTTTTGATGTGGTTTTCAAGTACCTTGTTGAGAATTTTTGCATCTATGTTCATTAAGGATATGGGTCTATAGTTTTCTTTTTTGGTTGTATCTTTACCTGGCTTTGGTATTAGAGTGATGCTGGCTTCATAGAAGGAATTTGGAAGTTCTCCCTCCATTTCTATCTTTTTGAATATGTAGTATTGGGTGTAGATCTTCTTTAAATGTTTGATGGAATTGTGCTGTAAATTCACCTGGTCCTGGGCTTTTTTCAGTTGGGAGGTTTTGTATTACTGTTTCAATTTCTTTTTGTTTTATGCATCTGTTTAAGCTGTTGATCTCTTCTTGGCTTAGTTTTGGTGGTTCCCATGCCTTTAGATATCCGTCCATTTCTTCTAGGTTTTCAAATTTAGTAGCATACAGGTTTTTAAAGTATTTCCTCATAATGTTCTGTATCTTTCTGGTGTCTGTTGTGATGTTTCCCCTTTCAGCTCTGATTTTGTTGATTTGGAGGTCCTCTTTCTTTCTTTTGGTTACCTGGGCTAGCAGTCTGTCAATTTTGTTTGTCTTTTCAAAGAACCAGCTTTTGGATTCGTTTATTCTTTGTATTGTTTTCTTTGTGTCGATTTCATTAATTTCTGCTCTTTTTTTGTTACTTCTTGTCTGCTGGGTTTGGGTTTTGTTTGTTGTTGTTTTTCAAGTGTCTTGTGTTGCAATGTTAAGTCATTTATTTGTGTTTGTTCTGATTTTTTAATGTAGGCACTTAGAGTTGTAAACTTCCCTCTAAGGACCACTTTCAGCCTGTCCCAGAGGTTTTGTTATGTTGTATTGTCCTTTTCATTTAGTTCCAGGAATACTTTTATTTCTTTCTTAATTTCTCTTTTGACCCATTCATCATTCAGGAGTGTGTTGTTTAATCTCCATGTGTTCATGTGGTGATTAGGGCTTCTTCTGGTGTTGATTGTAAGCTTTATTGCATTGTGGTCTGATAGAATGCATGGAATTATTTCAATCTTTTTGCATTTGTTGAGGTTTGTTTTGTGCCCCACTATATGGTTGATTTTGGAGACTGTTCCATGGGCTGCTTAATAGAAAGTATGTCCTTTGGTGCTTGGGTGGAATACTCTGTAGATGTCTGTTAAGTCCATTTGATATATGGTATTGTTTAATTCAGATGTCTGTTAACTCTCTGCCCTGTTGACCTATCTAATGGAGACAGTGAGGTATTGAAGTCCCCTACTATTAATGAGTTGGGATTAATCTGGGTCTTAAAGTCGTGTTCTTTACACATTTTTAACATTCCTTAATGCATATTAATTTAATATTTTTCAGTATTAGAAATAAAAGCGATGTTTTTTGTTATTGTTGTTTTGAGACAGGGTCTTACAGTTAGCCCTGACTGGCCTAGAACCCTCTATGTAACCGGGCTGGCCTCAAATTCACAGAGATCCTCCCGCCTCTGCTTCCTGAGGCCTGGGATTAAAGGTATATACCACCATGCCTATCCTAAGGGATTGTTTTATTTTATTTTGTTTAAAAAAAAAGAGGACATAGTTAGTGGGAGAATTACCATACTGGAGACTCCATCAAGAATTTACAAGATTCAGACAGGTGTGATTCCTACCTGTAATCTCAGCACTTGGGAAACTGAGGCAAGAGAATCACCAGCCTGGGCTTCTCCTGCTGGAGGTTCAAGGCCAGCCTAGCCAACACAGTGAGTTCCAGGTCATTGTAAGCTACCAGAGTGAGATCCTGTCTCACTTTATGGGAAGGTTTTACAAATAAATTATGGTAAAGCAGTCTTTGTTGCTTATTTTTGTCAGGAAGTGTTGTGTGTGTTATATTCTTTTTAACTTCTTAATCATTATGTTGGAAAATATGCTGAATATAATATATAAACCTTACTAAGAAAATCATGTAAATGTTGAAAGCAAATCAGCATTTTTAATGTTGAATTCTATATTACAAAATTGCAAAAGCATAACATAACATTTTCAATTCTCCAGAAAGTAAGTCCATATTGAGATGTCTGTTTATATGATGGTGTGCCAGTGACAGTAATGTTTGCAGCTCTTCTCAGAAGCCCAGGAAGCTTTCCTTGTGAGAACTAGTATCATAATAGTTTGTTGAAGAACTATCTTCTTCCAAGCACTAATGCTATTCCATAATGCTTTGATAGTGCTATCAGCTGTGAGTGAAGTATTGAATAGTGTGAGGTCCTGTGTAGCACACAACTCCTTCCTTTGTTTTTCTAGTTTCTTCCTGTCCAACTTGAGCTGCTGATTCCAACCAGGGCAGCATCCAGGGAATACGAGCCGGAAGTTATATATAAATCGATACCTCCCGCAGAGGTAATAAGAGAACTGAGCTGGTTGGTTCCATGATCCTTGCTCCAAAAAGTAATTGATCTCTTATTACATGTGACTATAAAAGCAGCAACATACAGGGAGAGTTAGAGCAGGAGGTAGGAAAAAAAGAGTCAAGGTAGCTGGCTTCCAGTGAGAGAAGGAAAGCAAGCAACTTATTTTAAAGCTAGCTTTCAGGCATTGGGACAAAATGACGCCCATCATTTTTCTCAGCACTTTCTTGCTTCATTTCACTGATGCTGTGGCTTCAGAACCGTAAGGGGATACTAAATTCTCTATATCAAAGTGCTGGTAATATGACTATATTAATTGTAGCCCATGTTAAAATTTGATTATGTTTTATTATACTGTTTTGACTTCTTCAATGGAGTGTTGGTTTGCCCTTTAAGTGCTAAGCAATGAAGAAAACTGACACCTTATTCTTTTAATATTTATCACTATGTAGACCAGGTTGGCCTTGAACTCACAAAGATCCACCTGCCTCTGCCTCCCAAGTACTGGGATTAAAGGCATGTGCCACCACGCCCGGCTCTATTTCATGTGTGTGAGTGTATTGCCTGCAAGTCTGTAAGTGCACAGGTATCAGAAGAGAGCTTCAGCTTCTTCTGGAACTGGGGTTATGGACACTTGTTAGCCACCATGTGGGTGCTGGGAACCGAAACTGGGTCCTCTGCAAGAGCAGCCAATGCTCTTAACCACTGAGCCATCTCTCCAGCCCCCTGACATTTTATTCTTAAGGTACCATTCTCTCTGCATATCCAAGTTGGTGATGACACTATCTATGAAAAATGTATCATTTCTGGAATGCTTCAATAGCTTAAATTGCTTTTTGTGGGCATTCTTCACGCCCTCCAGACTTTTTACAGACTGTTGGTTACTCTCCTTGTGTAGGCGCTATATCCTATGGGTCTCTTCTGTGATGCAGAGTTTTTCCACAGAAAAAGCTTGTCTCCATCTTTTAAACCTTAATGAATCCGTGTCCTTGAGCATCATCCTAGAATATGATGGATCTAATACTACTATTTTTGACCAGTCTGTGGAAGAGGAGAACTTCTATGCATGTGCAAGTTTCAAGGTGAGGCGCTGAATTTAGCATTTTAGGACTGCAGATGGGAATATGAAATTACTATTTTAAAGTTATTTTTGGATAAAAAAATCTTGATGTGGCATGAATTGTGGCATCTAGGGAGGAAATGTGAAAATTCAAGAGAAGGAAGAAATGAAAGGGAAATTTACACATATGGCAAAGCTTGTAAAATGTTGGTATTCTTCTATTATAGGAGACTATGGAGAGATAATTTCTGCATTTGAGACAGTAAAAGTGGTTCACGGTGTGAAGGCCATGTAGGTAAAAGAAAGGAGGGCTTTGATTTGGGGCAACAGAAAAAGAAAAGGCAGGAAGATAAAAACTATAGAACATGTCCTTATGCTGTTAAGCAGTTGCAATAAATGATCATTGAATCTTTTATTAAGAAGAAATGGGTTTACAAGTTTTTGTCATCCTGACAAGTCAAACAAAGACACTGAAATACTCTTCTCTGCTCTTCCACATAAATAGGTGTCTCAGAAATCTGCCAAGCAGTTGGCTTTTGTGACACTGTTTGCTCAGGGAGACACTCTTAAAATCTCTGAGAGAAGAGCTGTTGCAATCGCTGTGGAGGAGAATGCAACTTTTGTGCAGACAGATAAACCCATCTACAAGCCTGGAGCCAATGGTAAGTCATGTTAGAAATGCATTCTCCAAATTAACATGTAAAATTAATCTTTACTATCATTGGATCCTGTATTCCTATAATTCCTAATTATGGTCTTGTCATTTACGAAATAGTGTCCTCTAAATCCAGGAACTGAGTCCATTGCCTTCATGAAATGTTGCCCATCCTTCCATTGTGAACAAATTCTAGGCCTTCAAGGTACAATGGTCATAAGTGTGGAATATAAAGGGTGATTGTTTGGTCTGAATCACTGATCTATATTTTATCTATTGGGAAAACTCATTAACTCTTTTTTTCCAAGCTAAATTATTCCATCTTTAGAGTATGGATAATGAAAGTTTCTGACATAACTTTCAGGAAAGAAAAGGGAGTCATTGCAAAAACAGTGTCTACCACAGTAAAGAGCTCACCAGTGGTATTTATGGTTTCTATTATAATTGCTGATGTTGGTTTATGTAACCACATGTGTAAAAATTAGGTGAAGCCCTTCTGCTTTCGTTACTATTGCTCTAAGCAGAAGGAAACAGGAAGAACACCAAACTATAATTCAGAACAGTTTGGTTTGAGTGTTGGCTCTATAATAACTGCTTTAGTTTTTGCCAAGTAAACTCCTTTGTATTTAGTTTCCTTATTTGTAAAATTAAAGAATTGGATGAAACCATCTGTGGATTTTTGTCTTCATTAATATTGCATGCTTCTAAGATTTTTTTTTGAAAAGAAATAAAAAAGTTGAATATAGCATTCTTTTTTTTGTTCTTTTTTGGCTTAAACAACAAATACTTATTTTCTCAATATTCTAGACACCAACTACCTGACACGACGGTACAGGAGGCTTGCCTTCTTCCAAAGAGTACCAGTTCCCATAGCCTTCTTTCATTTTTCTCATTAATTTTTAAAGTTATCACACAAAGTAATGTTTCATTCTGACATTGTCATGTATATTTCAAAGAGAATTCTTTTTTATTTTTTAGAAGAAGCATTTCATTACATCTTTAACACAATAACAATTTCCAGAGCAAAGATACATCTCTTTCAAAAGTGGCTATAAAATTTTTAGGTTCACAGTTGAATTAATGCAGTTATACAATATACAGAGATTTTTGCTGTCTCGTGTCACCTTTTCTGAGCTTACAAAAATATTAGAAAGAGTTATAAAGACAAAAAGAGCTAAGATTTTTATTTCATAGTTCTGATAAAATAACTCAATTTTTACAGCCACTTCTGAAAGAGATGCATCTTTGCTCTGGAAATTATTATTGAATATGTTAAAGCTGTAATGAAATGCTCCTTCTAATCATGTGGTTATTAAATTTTTTAAAAACTCAATTTTGCTAGTATCAGTATATTTTTCAAGAAAAATTATGTTTCTCTCCTATCACTCCTGCTTCACATTTGCACTTCTATGACGGACTCTGCCATTAATTCTGTTTTTGGTATCCTAATCTCATGTCTTATGGCTGTTGGGGGAAAAGTTTCTGGTGGTGGCCAGGTCAGCATTGGTGACAACAAAGAATCATTAACGGAGAGACAGTACATGTAAAATATGAGATCGCTAGAGGGTGGAAATCACAAGAAAAATGACACTTTCCACTTTTCTTCTAGTTCACTTTCGCATTGTGACACTGAATACCTGGTTCAAATCTGTTGATAGCTTGGTGAGTTCTTTCCTTTCTAATGGCACAATGAAATTCAAATGTTTAAAGCAAACACATCTCTATACAAAGCACCTTCTTGGAACTTAAGTCTGGGTATCACATTCCTGTTTATTGATAGCCAAGATAAGGAATGAGCCTAGATGCCCATCAACAGATGAATGGATAAAGAAAATGTGGTACATATACACAACAGAGTTTTATTCAGCATTAAAGAATGAAAGGATGTCATTTGCAGAGAAATGAACAGAACTGAAGATCATCATGCTAAATGAAATAAGCCAAACTCAAAATAATAAATATCACATTCTTTCATACGCAGAATCATGCATATATGTACATATGTGAATCATGTATATGATATATGTACATCTGTGTATATGAAACATGAAAGCAGAAGGGTACCATGAGGAGAGGGTTTTAAAAGCAGAAGAGAACAAGAGAAAGTAATGGGAGAGAGAATGAGAAAAGATCACATTTTCAGGCTGGATCGATGGCTCGGCAGTTAACAACACTGGTTGTTCCTCCAGAAGACCCAGGTTCAAATCCCACCACCCACATGGCAGCTAACAACTGTCTGTAACTCCAGTACCGGGGGATCTGACAGCCTCTTCTGACCTCCGCGGGCTTACCTGCATGCAGGCAATACACGCATACACATAAAAAAATAAGAATAATAAATTTTTTTAAAGGATCACATTTTCTCACATATGTGGACTCTGAACTTAATTATATATTTGCATATATCTGCATATGAAAGTAGATGGAGAGGTGAGGCAGACAGGGAGTAATAGAGGGCAAACTCAGGCATGATGCAATAATATAATGTATGAACGATAATGAAACCCATTATTTTATACACCAACTGAAAGAACTGATTAAAAATAAACCTTGGGAACAACAAAACAGCATCTTCAGGAAACCTTTCATGTGCATGAAAATAAGAATCCAAGGTAAAGATTGTATAGAAAAAGCTTTGATGCCAATCTCATGATTAAGCACAAAACTTTTTATAAAGTATTTTATTAATTCTTTGAGAATATCATACATACATGCAATGTATTTTGATCATATTTGCCCCTCACTTCTCCCCTAACTTACTGACCTGGCCCCCAATTTCATGTCCTCTTTTTATTTTTTTAGTATTTATTTATTTATTTATTTATTTATTTATTTATTTATTTATCTTTTTGAGACAGGTCTCCCTGTAGTTCCAGTTGTCCTGGAACTTGCTGTGTAGACCAGGCTGGCCTTGAACTCACAGAGCTCCATGTGCCTCTGCCTCCTGAGTGCTAGGGTTAAAGGCCTGTGCCACCATGTCCGGCTTTTTAAAAAAAATACCCCACTGTGTTCAATTGGCCCGTATACATTTGGGTGTGGGGTCATTCACTAGAACTTGGTCAGCCTACCAGGGACCATACTGTTAAAGAAAAGAGACTTGGGAGTTGGAGAGATGGTACAGCAGTTAAGACCACAGACTGCCCTTACAGAGGACCCTGGCAGGTTTGATTCCCAGCATCCACATGGCAGCTAACAACCTTCAATAACTCCAGTTCCAGTGGATCCAATGCCTTCTTCTGACCTCTGTGGGCATTACACAACACAGGTGCACTTACATACATGCAGGCAATACACTCATACACGAAAAATAAAAATAATAAATAAATTATTCTTTTTTTAAAAAAGAAAATAAAACAGGCTTTCGAAACCCTAGCAACCGTCAAATGTCAGTATATCCTCAGCTAGGGGTGGGGACTTGTGCTGAGCATAAAACTTTTACTGGCGGTGAGTTGATTCATTCACGTTTAAATCTTTTCATTTCTACTTCTCACCAGAGATTCAGGTCTCTTCCACATTTAGAGGCTTTGCTTTGTTTTGTTTTGACATCTTTAGCTAGAGAAAGTTTGACCCCCCAGGGAGAGAAGGACTTATTTCCATGGACACAAACTTTATAAAGCAATATTTGGCAAAGGAATCTCTTATTGAAGTATTAATCTGCTTTTTTTTCTCTTTCAGTATCCTTTAATCACACTTCAGGTAAGATATCTGCTTTTCCTATCCACTTAAAAATCATTCAGATAAGGAATGGTATGCTTCCAGTTTTCATTTTGCAAAGCCAAAATTAAGTTGTCTGAAATAAAGAGAAATCTGTGCATATGTAACATAAGAAAGCATCAGATGAAGACCTAAATAAAGGGATAATGTCTTAGACCTGCTCTGGGCAGATGTAATAACTTGATTTTTATGGAATAGGAAAGACTGGACTTTTTCTAAGGCAGGTGTATATTTGAATTGCTTACTTTTGGCTACTGTCCCTTCTCAATCTTAATTAAGCCAATCTTGTTCTAAGGAAAAATATAACATAACCTTTTAGAAATATAGAAATCACTAGATTTACTGCAAAATGGACTCTGCTTACAGAAAATAAGTCTCTTTTCCCCAGCTTAAATTCTCTAAAGTAGTCTTCAAACTAATTAATTAGCTGTAGTTATAACTTACTTGTAAGTAGCAATCAACTCCAGCATATTTTATTCTGTATATGCTACATGTGTGTATGTGCTACTATGACATACAAGATCTAGGTTCGTAATTAATAATTATGTGTGCAAATATATAACACTTATTTACAAACTTGCGACTGTCCTCTTTATGATCTGAATGTTTTTAGCTTTTTATGTGGGCAACAAATCGCTCATCCTTAAAGTAATAAGAATGAGGTCCACTGATTTTGTGTTCTCTGCGTTACGCATCAATAGCTTATCTTCACATTTGGCCCAGCTAATGTTGTGTTCTATTGAAAACAATAAAAGCTTAATTAAAATAGTCTTCGATGAGCTTATTATTCTCACAAAGCGCAAAGTCGCGGCATGGGCTCTCAGAACTGCAGCCCAACATTATCCAGGCTTTTCCTAACTCCTTGGCCACCCTCAGTTTGGTGTTTTGGTGTTTTCTTTTCTTAAAAATGTTTTATTTATTATTTTTATTTTAGGTGTATGAGTGTATTGCCCCTGTGTGTGTAAGTGTACCTGTGTCTTGCAATACCCACAGAGGTCAGAAGAGGGTGACAGATTCCCCTGGAACTGAGTTACTAACAGTTGTTAGCGGCCATGTGGGTGCTGTGAATCGAACCTGGGTTCTCTGCAAGAGCAGCCAGTGCTCTTTTTTTTTTTTTTTTGGTCTTTTTGAGACAGGGTCTCCCTGTAGCCCCAGCTGTCCTGGAACTCACTATGTAGACCAGGCTGGCCTTGAACTCACAGAGATCCGCCTGCCTTTGCCTCCCAAGTGCTGGGACTGCAGGCAAGCGCCACATGCCCGGCTAAGAGCAGCCAGTGCTCTTAATTGCTGAGCCATCCCTCCAGCCTAGTGCTTTATTTTCAATGTCAGCAGAGACCAATTCTTTCAGAATTTATTCTACCGAATGACTTCCACTTACTTTTAATGAGTCAGCTGTGGTCTCATGGGTTATTAACTCCATTCGAAAGGAAGTCTAGAAAATTTAGTTTTCAAAACTTTATAGAAGAAAGCAACTCACTAAAACTTACTTTTATAAGAGCAGTAAATAGTTTTGTTTTCTTAGAAAGCCTTTTACACACGATCTCTTTAGTCAGAGTTGGGGAAGGTAAAACTATTGAAACAAGCTCCTGTAAGTGGCAATGTAAACAAGAGGGTTCATGCTGACCCCTGCCTTTGTATCATGGAACTTCTTTTTATTGTTTTTGCTTAGTCCATGACCAACTCAAATAGAGACCAAGTGGAAATCAGTGACAATCACTTTGATTATCAGGGTGAGTGTCCCTTTGTGTACACGGTATGGTGCTCTACTTTGAGGAGCATCATTCTGGACTAAGCATGTTGAATTTTTAACTCTTTGATTATAGTACTCTGCTTTAGAAAGTTCAAAATATAAGGTGTCAGTTATAGATGGCTTTTCATGTGATTTTTAGTCTTAAGAGAAGCATATTGTAAGGCTGAATTCAATACACTGAAGCAGTAATTTTTCAACGATTTGAGATAATTAGTTCAGAGTGATAGTGTGCATTCTTTGCTTCCAATAACGACACAGAGTACAAAAATAAAAAAAGGAAAGGCTAGTTCTCTCACATAACCTGATTGTTTTTATTTATTCACTGTTTTCTAGGATCCACAAAACAACGTGATTTTTCAGTGGCAAAATGTAACTTCTTTCCGAAATATTACACAACTCTCATTCCAACTGACTCCAGAGCCAATGTTTGGTGATTACACAATTGTTGTGAGAAGACAGTCAGGAACGACAGTGACTCATCAATTCACCGTTAATCAAAATGGTAACCAATAGTTACTAATTTTTTGATTTATTTTTATTTTATGTGTATGAGTGTTTTGCCTGCATGTATCTAAGTGCACCCATTTTGTGCAGTGCCTGTGGAGGACAGAAGAGGGCATCAGATCCCCTGGAATTGATGGGGTGCTAGTACTCAAACCTGGGTCTTCTGCAAGAGCAGTCCGTGCTCTTAATCGCTGAGTCATCTCTCCAGCCCCTCAATTAGTTATTTTTGAGCCTCTTACATAAAAATTTAAAGCAACTGAACAAAACTTTTAGACACAGACAAATGTAGGTGAAGTTCAATTTGGTTTTCTGCCATCTTCTTTTCTTGACCCTTTCTGTTATAGTGACAATCTTTTCTGGCTCTCATTCCCCACCCGTGCCTCACTCTGATACCTGGACCTCCCCTCCCTTCCTAAGAAATAGCTCATTTCTGGAATCCATATAGTCTCCTAGACAGGATCTATGAGATTGAAACATAAAAAGAGTGAAGTTCTGAGGCTAGAGAGAGGGAGGAAAAAAAACAAAAACAAAGAGAAGAACTGATCTTTGATGAGACTCCATCACAGACCATGGTGGACAGGTGCCAAACAGAATAGAAGGGCACTGATGCACAATTGGCACAGAGGAAACCACTGTGCATGGAAACAATTTAGCTGTGCAACTGCAGTAATTTTTACTCACTAGTGACTGTAAAGGCCGAAGTATGTTTCTCTTTGTTTTCAGCGATGCCCAAATTTGAAGTTGAGGTCAGTGCACCACAAACGATAACTATTGCAGATGACCAATTTCAAATGAATGCATGCGCAAAGTAAGTATTTATTCTGATTTACCCCCTCAAGTAAAAGTCTTAGCAACAATAAAAACGTATGTTTAATCATAAAACTTCATTTATATGCTTATATTAAAATTCTAATAGAATTTTTAAATGTTTGAAAAATATAAAGACATAAAAGTGAACTGCAATGCATTCTACCAGTTGCCATTACGTTAGTTTTTTTCTCTAATATTTTATGACTATTTTCCCTGACTGTGTTTATTCTTTTCTAACCAAAAATACTTAAGAAAGCATGTCTCCATATTACACAGGTCTTTTTTTTATCAATTCCAATTCCTTTTCTTCTTAACACATCTTCATAAGCCTATAGCAAATTTACTTAACTATTATTTTACTATGTAAAATGTTATAGGTTGCATTGTGCTTTCTAGTAATTAATAAAATTATAGTAGATATCTTGGATAAAACTGTACAATACCCTGGTTTTGAATTGAAAAATTGTTTCCTTAAGAAAGAGTTCTGGAAATGGGATTATCAAGTCAAAATATATAATATCTTTGAGACTTTAAAAATTTTTTTTGATTTACTATTTTTATTTTTTGTGTATGAGTATATTGCCTGCATGTGTGTAAGTGTACTTGTATTGTGCAGTGCCAGTGGGCGTTGGAGCCCCTGGAACTGGAGTTATGGACAGTTGTTAGCCAAATGTGGGTGCTGGGATTCAAACCCAGGTCTTCTGCAAGAACAACCACTGTTCTTAACCTCCAAGCCATCTCTCCAACTTAATAATCAGAACTAACATGATTTTAGTGATGTAGGCTGAATCAAAATCTCAAAAGCATGAAGCATTTTGGGGCTGGAGAGATGGCTAGGTGTTTAAGAGCACTGGCTGCTCTTGCAGACAACCTACATTCGAATCTCAGCACCCATATGGAGGCGAACAACCATCTGCAACTCCAGTTCCAAGGAATCTGAAGCCCTCCTCTGTCCTCTACGGGTGCTGCACGATATGGGTGCACTTAAATACACTCAGGCATAACACTCATACACATAAAATAAAAATAAATACATAAAATTTTAAAAGCATAAAACATTTTGAATAAACAAGTAGATTAGCAGTGTGGACTGTGGAGTAAAGTGAATCTGAGTTAGAACTTCACTGCCATCAAACCCCACGTGGGGGAGTGAGTTACTTGAAATCAGTTTTCTAATCAAAAGTACTGGAAAAAATGAATGAAATATAACATGGTAAACATATGATATATACCAGTGCTGGGAAACTATTTTAAAAGGTATTATAATCTGTAAGCTTAATACCATTCAGTTTTACTATACACTATTTTTTTCATTTGTTACCTAGTTTTCTAAATAAAGTGAAAATAATCCTCAAGCTAAAACAAAACAAATGCAACAAACAAAGCGTGGTAGTGCCAGCCTTTCATCCCAATACTCAGGAGGCAGACCAGGTGGATCTCTGTGAGATCTAGACCAGCCTGGTCTATATAATGGGTTCCAGGCCAGCTGGGGCAGCTACAGGGAGACTCTGACTCAAAAACCTAGCCAATGAAAAGCTGGGCTTGGTGACACATGCCTTTAATCTCAGCACTCGGGAGGCAGAGTCAGGGGATCTTTGTGAGATCTAGGCCAACCTGGTCTACATAGCGAGTTCCGGGCCAGCTGGGGCTATAGGGAGACCCTGTTTCTAGAAGATCAAAGCAGGGTGGGGGGCGAGGATTAGAGCGGGATGAGAAGAGGGAGTAAGGGGAGGAAGAGGGGGAGAAGAAGGAGGACTAGAGGGAGGAAGCACTCAGCTTCAAGGCTTACATGTGGTTTCTGACAAAGTCCATAAAATGTCACTGTGATATTGCATTTTTAATCAAAGTCACCATCTCCCTGCAGGTACACGTATGGCCAGCCTGTGCAAGGGAAAGCCCAGATCCGGGTGTGCAGAGAATTTTCTTCTGCTAGGGATTGTGAGAACAACAACAATGAAATATGCGAGCAGTTTACTGCACAGGTACTGACCACACCTTCTCCAGAGGGACGTGCCCACTCATTGCTCAGTATTTGAGGCCATTTATTTTTTAAAATATTTTATTTACTGTTTTTATTTTATGTGTATGGGTGTTTTGCCTGCATATATATATATATATATATATATATATATATGCACACCATGTGCATGCTTTGCCCCACAGAGGCCAGAAGAGTGTGTTGGATCCCCTGGAACTGGAGTTACCATAGATTGTTAGCTGCCATGTGGGTCCTGGGAATTGAGCCCGGGTTCTCTACAAGTGTTCTAGTGTTAAGAACAGCAAGTGTTCTTAACTGCTGAACCACCTCTTTTACCCCATATTTGATTCCATTTATTAAAAAGACTTAGCAACTTCCATTGTGTGGATAATGGAGGTTGAAGCTAAATAAATAAGGTAAAGAATGGAGAGAAAACTTGAAATAGCCTCTGATCTTTTGATATTGCTATTGCCTATGGATTCTTAGAATTTAAAAAAGATCTCATTGGCTTCCTCATTTTGTCTATGATCTGGGTGATCTATCACCCTGATCTTTCCTGGGAGAATCCTTTTTAATTCAGTTTATTTTCAAACCCCTGCAATTCAAAGCCTTGTTATATATTGCTCTGAATTCTGTTCTCCATTCTGAATTGTGCTTATAAAAGTTTCACCTGTTTTGCTGGCTTTCATCATTTTAAATACATTTTTCTCTATAAATCATTTTGTTTCATCTTGTTAATTTTTTTTAGATTTTAAAATTTATTTTTATATCATGTGCTTTGCCTGCATGTATGTGAGGGCACCATGTGTGTGCAATGCCAGTAGAAGCCAGAAGAGGGGCATCCGAGCCCCTGGAACTGGAGTTACAAACAGTTTTTAGCTGCCATGTGAATGCTGGGAACCAAACCTGAGTCCTCTGAAAGAAGAGCCAGTGCTCTTAACCACTGAGCCATCCCTATAGCTCCTAAGTTCTTCCTCTTAAAATAGGATTCAGTTCCATTTTCATCCCTTAAAACATCTGCATTGTTTCCAGGAGAATTCTCTTGAATCTATATAATAGAAATCACCTTCCATCCCTTAATGTACTGATAGACCATCTTCAACTTCTTCCTCCTTTAAGTCTCTCTTTCGACATTTCAGTAACTTTGTGAAGAACTAGGTAAACAGGAGTGTTAGACCTGTGCTAAAATGCCATCTGACTTTCTGGATCCCTAACCTTTTCCTTATATGATCTATTTTTCAGCTGAAAGGTGGCTGTGTTTCTCAAATTGTAAATACGAAAGCCTTCCAACTGTACCGTTCTGGATTTTTCATGTCATTTCAGGTCACTGTAATTGTTACAGAATTTGGAACAGGTAATGATTTTACTTTATGGACAACCTGGGGATACATGGTGGCCCAAGTAAAAAAATACTCTTAGTAATATCAATTATTATTAATTAATTATTGCTCAAAAGGGTATAACAAAGTACCTTTGAAAGTAGATTTTGGTGGGATGGGTTGAACCCAGGTCCTCTCACAAGCTAGGCGAGTACTCTACTGCTGAGTTATATCCTCAACCCTAAAATTTTTGATTGAATGATTAATTTTTTCCTGATACTGTGTTTCATCATTTCTTACAGGTGCACAGATCAGTAAAACAACCTCTATCTTTATAACTTCATTGCTTGGCAGTGTGAGCTTTGAGAATTTGGACCTTTACTACAGAAGAGGGATTTCTTATTTGGGAACTGTAGGTTTGATTAAAAAAAATTAAGAATTCTTCATTTTATTTTCTTTCTTCATACACTGTCACTTGAAAATTTCTGGACATTCTTTCCTAGTTTTATAATCCATATATTTTCCTAGTTTTATTGCTATTTCTGATATACTAGAGAAGTCCTAGGTTAAATAAAGCATTATTACAGGCATGGTGGTGCACACCTTTAACCCCAGCGTTTGGGAAGCAGAGGCAGGTGGATTTCTGGGAGTTCAAGGCCAGCCTGGCTTACATAGGGAGTTCTAGGCCAACAAGGCCTACATTATGAGACCCTGTTGCAAAAACAAAAAACAGAGCTAGGCTTGGTGGCCCATACCTTTAGTCCTAGCACTGGGGAGGCAGAGGCAGGTGGATCTCTGTGCGATCGAGGCTGGTTTGGTCAGTTTCAGGCCAGCTGGGGCTACAGGGAAACCCTGTCCCAAAAAGACCAAAAAAAAAAAAAAAAAAAAAAAAAAAAAAAAAAAAAAAAAAAAGCACACACACACACAAAAACAAAAACAAACAAAAAAGCAATATATAAAATCATAGTTGCTTCCTATATCATGAACATATATGTGCATTTGGTATAAAGCATCTTTCTGTTCATTAATAGAATTTAATGAAATTACTATTAAGTGATCACAATTATGAAATTGAAAATTGTAGAAATATAAAATTTTATGTTTTAAAGATAATTAACATTTCTTTTTTGTACAGCTTAGATTTTATGGTCCTAATAATGTACCAATGGTGAGCAAGGTGTTGCAACTGTACCTCAATGATAGACTTATAGGAAATTACACTACGGATGAGAACGGGGAAGCTCAGTTTTCCATTGACACTACAGAGATATTTGATCCACAGATCAACTTGCAAGTAAGACATCCAAGGTCAGATGGGGATGGTTAGGTATCCCTCAGAAGGCCTCAATGTTAGGCACTTTCAGTTTTAGAAGTCTCTTAAACGATCACTTATTTTATATGACATGCTTGTTCATTCAGTACTCCATGAGAATATTTGTTCAGAAGATGAGATATTAGTACAATACTTCCATAATTACTATAAATTCTTATCACAAATGATATTATCATCTATAGAATTAAATATAAGAAAATATGGTCTTTTCTTTCTCCTTAGATCATTCTGTGCATAGATAGGGGAGATAACTGTGCTCTTTCTGCTGCTTAAACAGAATTTTGCAGTATTCAGATTTTCCAGTGTTCAAATATAGGTGAAAGAAATAAGAACAAGTTTAATTCTCTGACTATAAGTAAAAGTTAAAAGCAAAAGCCAGTTGTGGTGGTGTATGCCAGTAATCCCAGCACTCGGTGAGACAGGGAGATTTTGAGTTCCAGGCCAGACTGAGATACATAGTAAGATAATGACTCAAAAAAGGAAAAAAAAAAAAAAAAGTAAAACACATAATGATTCATTGTTAGTCCATAAAACAACCTCACAATTATGGCCACTTTTAATAGTCAAAAATAGGAGAATGCTATTACTTCACTTTGCAGGAGTCAGTACCCTCCTTCTACCATGGAGGTCCTGAGAATCAAATTCAGATGGTCAGGCTTGGGGACAAGTGCCTTTAGCTTCTAAGTCATCTCACCAGCGCTTCTAGATCAGCTCCAGACTTTGAAGAAATGAGCAGCCTTGTGTTCTGCATTATTTCCTGTCTTTGGAGGTGTTTATTATTCTTCTATCACCTCAGGCCACATATGCTCGACCCATGAGCTGCCGTCATTCCAGCTGGCTGGCGCCTGAGTATTTGGATGCCCACTCCTCTGTCTCCCGCTTTTACTCCCGAACCAACAGTTTCCTGAAGATTGTTCCTGAACCAAAGCAACTTCCTTGTAACCAAGAGAAGATGGTTACAGTGCTTTACTCTCTAAACCATGCAGCATACAAGAATGGTTCAGATGTAAACTTCTTCTATTTGGTAAGTCTCAGCTAGTGGATTCTGTCTAATCAAGTGTCTGTGGAGCACAGCACAGTGCATCTGTCAGGCCTCCTCAATCTGGGTGAGCTCCAGCTGCTCACTTGGTTGGTGAATACAGCTGGATCCATTAAGAACAAACAAACAAGAGTATAAAATTATCTCAAGTAATTTAAGTTTCCCTAAGACTGAAAAACTTGCTACTCAAGCCTAGTTTTTTTTTCAAGCCTTCAATTGTACCGCATATCAAATATTTATGACCCTTTGTGATAGCAAAATCTTTCCCTGTGCTAGTAGAGTATTATATGGAAGGCTCAATGTGATAAGCAGTGGAAGGAAGTGTCCTGGATCTGCCTATTTCTGCTCTTCAAGACATCCTGGAGAGTGAAAACACACAGTAGGAAATTAAGGCACCCTCTCCTAGCCATTAAGCAAGTGGGTCCCAGCATGGACACCTTGTTTAAACACTCTAAGCCCTGGCTTTCTTGGCAGCATATTTGTAATTGGAAACAATGACTGGCCTCCAGAGATAAATATTATTGTGTCAGGCATTGTTGAAGAGTGTCACGTGTATTAAGTCACTTAGTCAACTTTATAGATATTTCAAAATTTTTACAGCTCAAGGGACAGAGGCAAACGGTAAACAACTTGTCTTAAGTCAGAAAGCAGGTGAGGGCATCATGGAAACAAGACAGTCCAGCAAGCCACCACCTTGCCTATGTATTATACAGCTTCATATTCTTTCTCTGTTCTTTCCCAATATGTGGGAAATTTACTTTGAATATCCATTGTGGAAGTGACTTCATCTTATGACCATTGATCATATGATACAATATAGATGCTAGCTTTTTCATTAATTTTATTTTATGTGTGTGAGTGTTTTTGCCTACATGTATGGAAGTGTACCATGTGAAGAGCAATGCCGAAGAGGCCAGAAGAGGGTATCAGATTCCCTGGAACTGGAGTTATGGATGGTTGTTGGGTGCTGGGAATCAAATCTGGGTCCTCTGGAAGAGCAGCAAGTGTTCTTAACCACTGAGGCATCTCTCTAGCTAGAGATGCCAGTTTTCATAGTGTGCTTTCTTTGTCCTGCACAGGTGATGGTAAAAGGAAGCATCTTTCTTAGTGGACAGAAGCAAATCAGAAACCAAGGTATATGTGATACACTTACTGTGAAATGTCTACTTTATCTTCATATTTTTCTCTTTTAAAGGAAACATTATAGAGTCTAGAAATTAAGAAGAGCACTTATTTCTACTTGTAACTGGAGGGTGATAGTTAGCAAGGTTTAAGGTAAACATCAATATTTTGAAGAAGGATATTTCTTTTTGCTATTGTCAGTTAATCTTATACGTTATAGAAAAATGATATCCAAAACTTCCTATTTTAAGTGTCTAAACTATTCAGTGTTCTTTAGCTGTGTATGTGATTCCTGTTATTATTTATTTTCATTTAAGCAAAGTCTAATTTACTCTCCAAAAAGCCATTTTCTTTTCTTAAAAATTATTTATTATTTTTATTTTATTTTATATGTATTAGTATATTGCATTATGCAAGTGCACCCATGTCATGCAATTCCTATGGAGGTCAGAAAAGGGAGTCAGATCCTCTGGAACTGGGGTTACAGATGGTTGTTAGCTGCCATGTAGGTGTTGGGAATCCAACCCAGGTCCTCTGCAAGAACAGTCAGTGTTCTTAACCACTGAGCCATCTCTCCTGCCCCCCAAAACAGTTTTCTTTTATCTAAATGTACCCAGAGATACAAGATAAATCCATCATTTGCTGATCCCTTATTTCCACAGGCTGGAGTGGAAACTTCTCTATCCCAATCAACTTCAGTGCAGACCTGGCACCTCTGGCTGTTGTGTTTGTCTATACCCTTCACCCCAGTGGGGAAATTGTTGCTGATAGTGTCAAGTTCCAGACTGACAAGTGTTTTAAAAACAAGGTGATGCTTCTTCTAATAGCAGAGTGAGCATTTTGCTTCCTGCTGTTTCCTTCTTATCATTTAAAGTCATTTTAAAATTTATTGTTATTATTATTTGTGTGTGTGTGTGTGTGTGTGTACATGCACACTTGACTTGTCAGAGGTCAATTTATAGGAGTTGGTTCTCTCTTTTCTCCATGTGGGTTCCAAGATCAAACTTGGGTTGTCAGGTGTTGGCAAGCACCTTTAACCCACTGAACCATCTCACCAGGTCTGTCTCTTTCTTAACTGACCCCCTATACCTCCATAATCTTTACATGGTAATCTCATAGTTAAATTACTAGATAATGAGAGTCATCAAGAGTTATCTTGTTGGGGCTGGAGAGATGGCTCAGTGGTTAAGAGCACTGGCTGCTCTTGAAGAGGACCCAGGTTTAGTTCCCAGCACCCACATGGCAGCTAACAACTGTCTATAACTCCAGTTCCAGAGGACCTGACGCCCTCTTCTGGTCTCCATGGACATTGCGTGACACCAGTGCACTTACATTCATGTAGGCGATACCCTCATACACATAAAATAATAAAAATAATAAAATATTAGAAAAAGAATTATCTTGAAGGCTTACTGATCCTGGGAAGCCAGAAGGGTGGTGGAAGAGATTCTCACAGAAGGGTTGAGATGGAGAACAGGCAGGAGAAATGCATGTACAGAAATCTGTCAGGATTTGTTTGGGGAAAAAAGAACCAGTTTATTCTGATTGTCTTCATATGTAACTCTCTCTGCCCTCATTCCTTTCCTTTCTCTACTTCAGGTTAGCATAAAGTTCTTGAAGGAGCAGGGTATACCTGGATCCAACACCAGCCTGCATCTTCAAGCAGCCCCAGACTCATTCTGTGGCCTGCAGGCAGTGGACAAAAGTGTCCTTTTGCTGAAGCCTGAGCAAGAGCTGTCAGCCAAAAGTGTAAGCACCTTTGTTTCCTCAGTGTTCTGATGCTATGTGATGTGAGTCCTGCTCTCCATATGGTGGAACATGCTGAAAACATTAACATGGGTTCTTAATTATTTACTTATGTCTCCTGTCTGACCAAGCATTCCTAATGATATAGAATACTAGAGATAATTATAACAGGTTAAGAATTTTACAACAATATGATATTTTAAACTCATAGATGTATTCATAAATATGGACTCATAGAGTTAAGAGGAATCTCCATGTTGTACAAGATGCATTGATAAATCTAAAGTTGTCATCTCATGTTAGTGACTATTTTCTCTAATATTTCCAAGGCTAGAGTGTGGATCAGTGGTAAAGCACTTGCCTAGCGTGGTGTGAGGTCCTGAGTTTAGTTCCCAGCACTACTACTACTACTACTACTACTACTACTACTACTACTACTACTGCTGCTGCTGCTGCTGCTACTACTACTACTACTACTACTTCTTTAACAAATAAATAAAAGCAAGAAAGAAACAGAGAAGAAAGGGGGTTTTAAATCAGCAGTCCAAAAAGCTCACATAAAAATATTTTGGTTCGTAACTGTTGAATATTTCTCTTTCCCAGCTGCCTCCCTCCCTCCTTCCCTCCCTCCCTCCCTCCTTCCCTCCCTTTTTTCCCCTTCCTCCCTTCTTCCCTTCAGCTCTTTCTTTCTCTGTCATTCCCGTGCCTCTATTTCTTCTTTTCATGATTTCAGTACACTGTTAAATTGAAGGATCAATAGCATCCTTGCCATGCTCTTGCTGTAGTAGAAGTGACTGGCCAGATGTCTATTTCTAATGACTTGTGTATGACAGGCAGTTTCTTGACAAGTCTCTACATTTCTTTTATACAAATTGGCCTAGTTAAGCATTATCTCCTTCTTGGTGCCAATTTTGATACATTATATTTTCTTAAGGGAGTAAGAGCTTAACATATTTATTTATTTATTTATTTATTTATTTATTGGGCATGAGTGTATTGCTTGCATGTATGTAAGTGCACCTGTGTCATGCAATGTCCACAGAGATCAGAAGATGGCATCAGATTCTCCTGGAACTGGAGTTACAAAAGATTGTTAGCCACCATGTGGGTGCTGGAAATTGAAACTGGGTCCTCTGGAAGAGCAGCCAGTGCTCTTAACTGCTGATCCACCTCTCCAGCCCAAAAAGTGAAATCTTTAAGATTTAAAAACTATGTTCTCTGTATCAACAGTTATATTCCCTTAATGTCTTGTTATAATTTTGTTGTTTAAATTTATACTTTTTTCCTTATTAGATTAGTTACTTGTTTACTGATTTTTGCTGAGTTCAAAAACTTCAGTTTTAATTATCACCTAAATATAGAGTGGATTTTTGTTACTGTCTTGTTTTAGTCATCTACCACATTAATGTTTTCTTGTTGCTACTTTTAGCACATTTAAGAAAAAGTCTATCATTACATTAACATAGTGTATAACAGACATCTCAGCATTTTTCTCTGACACCATTTTTGTTTGTTTGTTTTTTCTAATAGTGGGACTGGATCCAAGACCTGACCTTGCATATGTTAAGCAAATACTTTATCACTCAGCTTCAGCCCTAAACCTAATTCCTGTTTTTATATCAATCCATAGATTCTGATGTGTAGTGATTGACCCATTTTTATTTTTCAGAATCCTTTTATTTCTGTTTATAGTTACCATTTTTCCAAAACATTGCTTACTAAGACTTTTTTATAATTTATGTGTAGAAAGGCCTTTTATTTTGGAATATCATTTCAGTTCAAGCTATATTGCTTCATGATCAATAGTGTTTCTTTTTAAAAAAATATTTATTTATTACTATTATTTCAATTAATTAATTAATTTTGTAATTTTGAGACAGGGTCTCCCTGTAGCCCCAGCTGGCCTGAAACTATGTAGACCAGGTTGGCCTCAATCACAGAAATCTGCCTGCCTCTGCCTCTCAAGTGCTGGGATTAAAGGTGTGCGCCACCATGCCTGTCTTGTTTATTATTTTTACTTTATGTGTATGAGTGTCTTGCCCGAATGTGTGTAAGTACATCCGTGCCATGTAATGTCCATGGAGTTCAGAAGAGGGTATCAGATCCCCTGGAACTAGAGTTACAGGTAGTTGTTAGCTGCTGTGTGGGTGCTGGGAATCAAACCCAGGTCCTCAGCAAGAGCAGCCAGTGCTCTTAACTGCTGAGCCATCTCCCCAGCCCTGATCAATAGTATTTCTTTTTTGATAATTTTAAATTTTACTTCTCTCATAAGTGATGAGGCATAAACAAGCACTTTCAATTATAAACAAATCATAAAACCAGTTTATCAGATCACCACAAATTACCCTATTACAGAAAATGTCAGGACACACACTAAAATCTGCTGTCTAAAGCTATACAAGTCAGTTTCATGTAAGTCTGAATTTAATTTAAAATATTGCTATTTCATTTTATTTTTAATTTAATTTAGTTTAATTTTTTGGTCTTTTTGGGACAAGGTCTCTCTGTAGCACCAGCTAGCCTGAAACTCACTGTATAGACCAGGCTAGTCTGGATCTCATAAAGATTCTCTTGTCTTTTGTCTCTGAGTGCTGGGACTAAAGGCTTGTACCACCATGCCCAGTAATATTTCTATTTTATGAAGCTTATTAACATATTGTTGTTTTCAGGTGCAGGTTTTTGAGAATGCGTTTTGTGTGTTGAGAAGATGTAGTTTTGTTATCAGCCTATTTTATGGCTATAAAATTTGATTATATATATATATATTTGGTCTTTTTGAGACAGGGTCTCCCTGTAGCCCCAGCTGGCCTGGAACTCCCTATGTAGACCAGGCTGGCCTTGAACTCACAGAGATCTGCCTGCCTCTGCCTCTCAAGCGCCGGGATTAAAGGCATGTGCCACCATGCTGGTCTTTTGATTATATTTTTTATATTCTTACATTTTTATTTTTTGAGTTCATATATGATTAATGTATTCACATAATTTCCACCCTTTCCTCTCCCCCTATCTCTTCCCATCTACCCCTACTCCCTCTCAATCTCATGACCTCTTCTTTGATTTTTATTGTTATATATATTTATAATATACATAATATGCTGTGTCCATTTAGTGGTGCTTATATCTTTACTTAAATCTACTTAGCCTGCTTCATACTGAAAGTAATAAGCTACAACAACTTACTAAAAATTATTTCCAGCATTTTTTCCTTATACCTTCTGTAGAGTCTGTTTCATTATTT